TAAACTAATTCGATTATATTGTTTTCAAGGTACCAATTATGCTTTCTTCATTTTCTGACTGCTGAAGTGTTTCCTCCTCTTTCTTCTCATCATCCACCAGACCGTCATCTTTAACCTGGCAGACACAACAAAACCAAATGAAAACACAGAGTCTGTAAACATGGGGGTCTATAAACACACACATACTTTTTGTATGATTGCATGAATGAACTATGGATTAATCTGTTATTTTCTAGATTAATCCACATTTGTTTGGTATATAAATTGAGAAATGGCCGTCCTGGACACACATTTCTACAAATTGCTTGTTTTTTCCAACCAAGCACTTTAAAAAAAGATAGTTCACTTTACGATCCAAAATAAGATAAAGACAAAGCATAAATGTTTTTTGTTTAAATGTCAGCCTGTTGCCTGAGATACAGCATATTCTTGGGGCACACATGGACACTATTTGCTACTCCGGGCATCCTTTCTTCGTCCCCTTTTCTTTGTTCTCACTGGATGTAACAGTCGGGTGTGTGTGGATTGGAGGTGTAGGTTTTTTTTTTACCTGTGTTTGGTTGGTCTTTTGGTTGTGTTTTGTGTATATATTTGTTCTCAAAGTTAAAAATAAAAAAAATAAACAATTGTCAAAATAAGTTTGCCTGATTCATTTTCTGTCGATTGATCTAATTGGCCTTTTTCACACCAAGAGATCATTTTTGACATTGTCACAGTAGGAAAAACAAAACTATAAATAATAAATATGAATAGATTTTTAGCTCCTTTCCTGGTATTTGTGCGTGCTAGTTCAACGTCAACACTTCAATGGCTTACTGGGACACTTGAAAAACAGACAGAGCAGTTCAAGCTATTTAGTATATGGAACTACACTTATATACTACATATAGTCCCACATTCACACATTCATACACTGTCGGCTGAGGCTGCCATGCTTGGTGCCAAATGCTCCATCAGAAACAAATACCCGTTGGCGCAGCATCGGAGCAATTTGTTGTTCAGTGTCCTTACCCAAGGACACTTTGCATTGCAAGAGTGGAGGAGCCAGGGGAATCGAACCTGCAAAATTCTGATTAGTGACGACTCTGCTCTACTCCTTGAACCACGATGACACTAGTTGACACTTTGCAGCAGGTAATACATTTTAAAAATAGGTAATTAATGGTATTAAAAAATGAACATTATGGTGAATGGATCGACCTGTACCTGTGTATAATACGGTGTATATGGACCGTGTGTGTATTGTATCGCTCACCGCTTTTGCGTTCACCACCTGCCTCCAGGACCAACTTCTCCCTTGCCCAGTTTCTTCTCAATCCATCCTTGAAGGTAGAGGGCGTTGGCCCCTCGCAGCAACACCCACCCAGCTTCCCCCACCCTGTTTTCCATGTCAACATGAATGTCCATTGTTTTTGATTTTATTTAATTAACATTTAACTTAATAAGTGATCGTACAGAGATGCTTTGGGCCCCGTAAGTAAGCCACAAGAAGATTGCAAAAAAAAACCTCAGTCAGCAACCAACATAAACAATGATGAAATAACGCAATAAATAATAAGCAGGGAAAGGTCGACGACTCCAGTGTGGCCCTATTTCCTGGCCTTCTGAGAAATGTAGAGTCGGGATAAAAGGGAAAAAAGAAATATAGACGGGAAGTAAAACAAATAAGAATAACTAGATTGAAAATATTCAAGACAAAAAATGTATTACGAAAGGACACAAAGGTAAAACACACAGAGCCTGATTGCTCATTGATGCTGGAATCTACATCTCTGTACAAGCACCACCACACTCACCCCATAAAAAGAGGGAAGGTGGGGCTCGCATTTCCGCTCCGATATTTCTCTAGAGCATCCAAA